TCGTCGTCGTCGTCGTCGTCGTCCGTCGTCGTCGTCGCTTTTCGTAGTTTGTCAAGGTCGTCGTCGTTGCCGTCGTCCCCCGTCCCTCATGGTCGTCATCATCCCTCGTCGACGTCCTCGTCGGCCCTCGTCGTCGTTGGGCCTCGTCGCTGTCTTCGGCCTTCGTCGTCGTCGCTCGTCGTCGTCGTCGTCGTCCTCGTTGTTGTCGCAATCGTCGTCTTGGTCGTCTTGGTCGTTGTCCGTCGTCCCTCGTCCGTCGTCTGTTGTCCGTCGTCCGTCGTCGCCGTCGACGTCGTCGTCGACCGTCGTCGACGTCGCCGTCATCGCCGCAGTCGTCGCTTGCCGTCGTCGTTCGTAATGGACGTCGCCGTCGTCGTGGTCGTCGTCGTGGTCGCTATAGTCGTCATCGTCGACCGTTGTCCATCGTCAGGTCTCCGTCGTCTGTCGTCTTCCTCGTCCTCCTCGTCGTCGTCTTCGTCGTCGTCGTCCGTCGTCGTCGTTTGTCGTCGTTCTTCCTCGTCGTCGCCGTCGTGGCACGAGGGCCTGCAGGGGCGAGCTCGGGCTGGGACTGGCGCCGACGGGCCGCGCGCGATGGAGCGGCGCGACGGCGCGATGGCACACGGCATGCTGGAGCCGGCGGTCAAGGGCCGCGGCAGGCTCGGGGGCGGATGCGGCGGCGGCGGCGGCGGGAGCGGTGGCGTCGGCCATGCTCCCGGCCGGCGCCGCCGCGGTCCTCCGGGATGGCCCTTCTGCTGGGCGGGGCCTCGCCCTGCAGGAAGCGGCGCGGGCTCGGGCGGGGCCGGCTCCTGGAAGCGGCGAGGCGCCGCGAAGGAGGGGGCCGCGGACGAGCGCCTCGCCGCGCTTGGGGGTGCAAGGGGGCACCGAGGCAGAGGGGCCAGATGGCCCCTGGCAGGCGGCGAGGCAAGGCAGGAGTGCCCCCTGCAGGCGAGGCGGTCCAGCTTCGCGCACTCCACGGCGTTCAGCGCGCTGGAGGACGAGGGCGGCAGCGACCAGGAGGAGGTCGCGAACGACGGCGACCAGGAAGAGGCCTGCGTAGGCGGCAAGAGCGAGGAGGGCGTCGCGGACCCAGAGGAGGCGGCGGTCGGCAAGGGGCAGAAGGACCAGGACGACGACGCCGTGCTCAGCGACGCGGTCTGCCTGGCCGAGCAGGACCTGTCGTCGTCGCCGTCGTCGTGGTCGTCCCTCGTCCCTGGTCCCTCGTCCCTCGTCCTCGTCCACGTCCTCGTCGTCGTCGTCCGCCGTCCGTCGTCTGTTCTCCGTCGTCCGTCGTGAGTCGTCGTCCGTCGTCGTCGTCGTCGTCGTGCCTCATCCCTCGTCCTCGTCTTCGTCGTCTTCGTCGGTCGTCGGTGACGTCGTCGACCGTCGTGGTTATCCGTCCGTCCAACGTCCGTCGTCATCGACGCCGTCGTCGCGTCTTGTCTCGCGTCATCGTTGTCGTCGTCGTCCCTCGTCCTTCGTACCTCAACGCGGTCTCATGACGACGCCCTTGTCGTCCTCCGTCACTCGTCCTCGTCCTCGTCGTCGTGTCTCGCGATCGTCATTAGTGGTCGTCGTCGTCGTCGTGGTCGTGGTCGCCGTCGTCGTCAGTCTGTTGTCCGTCGTCTTTCCTTCGCCATCGTCAAAGTCATCATCCTCGCCTTCGTCCTTGACTCTCGTGCTAGTCGGGCGTCGTCGTCGACGTCGTCCGTCGTCTTCGTCGTCGTCACCGTCGTTGTCCGTCGTCTCTTGTCCGTCGTCCGTCGTGGTCGTCGTCTTCATCGTCGCCCTCTTTTTCGTCGTCGTCGTCCGTCGTCAATGGTCCGTCGTCTGTTGTCCGTCGTCCGTTACCCTTCGTCGTCGTCTTCGTCGTCACCAGTCCCTCGTCCATGTCGTCGTCGTCGCCGTCGTCGTCCCTCGTCTCTCGTCGTCGTCGTCCCTCGTCGTCGGTCTCGTCGCCGTCCATCGTCGCCGGTCTCGTGCCTCGTCGTCGTCGTCGTCGTCATCGTCGTCCCTCTTCCTGCGTTCTAGTCTTCGTCGTCATTGTCGTCCCTCGTCCGTCGAACGTCGTCTGTTGTCCGTCGTCCGTCGTCCGTCGTCGTCGTCGTCGTCGACATCCGTGGCCCGTTGTCCGTCGTCCAATGTCGTCGTCGTCGTCGCCAAGCGTCCCTCGTTATCTTCGTCGTTGTAATCGTCGTCGTTCTTCATCCGTCGTTCAACGTCCGAAGCCCGTCGTCTGTCGTTCGCGGTCGTCGTCGTCGTAGTCCGTCGTCCCTCGTCGTCGTCGTCGTCCCTCGTCATCGTCCGTTGTCCATCGTCTTCGTCCGTCTTCGTCGTCGTCCCTCGTCATCGTCCGTCGTCCATCGTCGTCATAGTCCCTCCTCGTCGTCGTCTCTCGTCCTCGTCCTCGTCCTCGTGTTCGTCGTCGTCGTCACCGTCGTCGTCGTCGTTGATGTTGTCCTTCGTGGTCCGTCGTCCGTCGTCTATTGTGCGTCGACCGTGGTACGTCGTCAGTCGTCAGTCGTCGTCGTCGTCGTCGTCGTCGTCTTCGTCCTCGTAGTCGTCGCCCGTCGTCAGTCGTCTGTTGCCCGTCGTCCATCGTCTGTGGTCGTCGTCCTCGTCGTCGTCCCTCGCCCCTCCTCGTCCCTCGTCGTCGTCGTACATCGTCGCCGTCGTCGCCGCCGTCGTCGTCGTCGGCGTCGTCGTCGTTGTCCCTCGTCCCTCGTCCCTCGTCCTCGTCGTCGTCCCTCGTCGTCCGTCGTCTGAATTTGTAGTCCGCCATCCGTCGTCCGTCGTCCGTCGTCGTCGTCGTCGATGTCGCCGTCGCCGTCGTCGCCGTCGTCGTTGTCGTCGTCCCTCGTCCATCGTCCCCGAAGTCCCCGTCGTCGTCGTCGTCGTCGTCGCCGTCATCGTCGTCCCTCGTCTCTCATCGTCGTCGTCCCTCGTCTCTCGTCGTTGTCCTCGTCATCGTCGACGTCCCTCGGCGTCGTCGTCGTCGTGCCGTCGTCGCCGTCGTCCCTGGTCGTCGTCGTCGTCGTACCTCGTCGTCGTCTGTTGTCCGCCGTCCGTCGTCGTCGTCGTCGTCGTCGTCGTCGTCGTCGTCGTCGTCGTCGTCGTCGTCGTCCTCGTCCCTCGTCCCTCATCCTCCTCGTCGTCGTGGTCTTTGTCGTCGTCCCTCGACGTCGTCGTTCCACAGTGGCAGAAGAAACTTGCACAAGCACAAACGTTCGGAGGTCCGCGCGGCTCTCATGGATCTGCGCTGTTTCCCCCCCTGGCGCTCGGGGCGCGCCAGTGGCGGCGCTGGAGGCGCCGCCAGGGGGATGCACTGCAGATCCAGGAAACCTGTGAGGTGACCCGAAGCTTCTGCAGATGCCATTTTCCATCCCTCGAGACGAGCACTAAATCAGCCACCTGCTGGTCGGAGGTTGTGAAATGTGGAAAGCCAAGGTTTCCTCCAGAATAGGACGCAGGAGCGGAGGAGAACGACGAAGGGAATGCTCTTCTCTCGCGCCATCTCCCCCAGTGTGCGCCGCAGCAGCCTGGCGCAAGTCTTCTGGCAGGGTCAGGGGCGCTCGAGGACGCGGGAAGTCAACGGGGGGCGGTTGCAACATTGTTTGGGCCCGCTTGCACATTGGACACACGAATTGGGTACGGCAAAAGCAGGTACGATGACCAACCAACCAACAACGGTCGCTGCTGGGCAAGCGGCCTTCTGTCTCAAACGGGCAAAATCCGTGGGGACACCAGCAACGAGACATTATCAAAATGTGGTTCCGGTCATTCTGCCCATTCTGGGTAAAACAAGAGGCACCGATACGGCTACCCTCCAGACCTGTACGGGGATGCGTCCTGACCAGAATTTCGAAGCGAATCCAGCTGTGGCGACGAGGGCCTCCGATGAGGCCCCAAACAGGGGAAAAGAGCGAAGGGCAACGGCACGTGTACCTCTTCCTCCTCGGAACATTCTTCCCGTACCCATCTCGATCGTCCAGAGCACGAGGCCCCTGCAGGGCCACACTGCCGCAGTCCTCGCCCTCCCCCGTGCACTGCCCCCCCTGGCGACGGAGAGCGCCCCAGCCAGGCGGAGTCGGACCCGCTGCGCCGGGCCTGGGATAGAAGGGGCTATCCAGTCTGCCGAGCCCGGGCAGCGTGCCCAAGAAGGGCCAGGCGCGCTCGCCTGGGTGACAGGGAGTGATACAAGATCCGAGCAGGCCCAGACATGCTCGCGTCGTGAGAGAATCCGCACAGGAGGCTTCAACCGTTTTGGGCCGTGTTGGGCCGCGGCAGGCGCCTGGGGGCCCCCATAGAAGGCGCCGGGGGACCTCTGCCGGGCGCCGGGACCGTCAGAAAACGACTCAGGATGAAGAGCCAGTCCCGGGGAAAGGGTCGGGAACACAGACCCCCGACGTAATGATTTTTCATTACGTCGACCCCCAGAGGTCCCGAACCTTTCCCCATGGCCGGCTTTGCATCCTGAGTCGTTTGGTTGACGCTCCCGAGGCCAGGCGAGGGCCCCCGGAGGCCGAAAATTAAGAAAGCCTTCCGCCATGTGCTTTTCACTGCTCGAGGGGGTCTGGGGACTTCGTACCGACAAAAATCAGGGCGACGCATGTTGGTGGTCTCCAAACCAGGTGGTGAGACACCTGGTGGTGACCCCGATTCCCCCAACAAATAATTCTGGGTCGCCACCGGGTTTGGGGACACGCGGTCGCCACGAAGTTTTGCGTTTCCTGGGCCAGCCAGCGCTCGAAAACCATTACCCAAGTCGCCCAAAACTCACCACCGGGTGTTCTCACCACCACGTGTGGGGACCACCGAGCATGTCTGGGGGAGCCAGCCGAGACAACGGCAAGCCGGGATCGACCCTCGGACCCTTCCCAGCGTCCAAGCGCACTCGCGTTCCGAGCTGCGTCCAGCAGTCGCGACGAGGGGGCCCCCCCTCGGAGGCCGGCCGCCAATGTCTCGAGCCGCTCTCCTCTGGGAAGAGCCGGGCGAGCCGCGGCTCAGGGCACGACTCCCGCCATGTCGTCGGAGTCGGTGCTGCCCACGAGCCCGTAGGGCTGCTCCTGGCTCCACTGCTCCTGTGCGTGGCGGTCCGAACTCTGCTGGGACTCGAAGACGCTGTCGCCCTCGAGCACGACGGCGTCGATGGTGTCCTCCTTCACGACGTGGATGTGCTGCTGCATCGCGGTCAGCTCCCCGATCATCTGCTCGTTGAACTGGGTGAGCTGGTCGGTGTGCGCGCTGCTGGCCATGGCGCCCCCGCCGTTGAGCCTGCGCATCTCCTTCAGGTGCTTCTCCTAAGGAGACAGAGCAACATAAACTTCCAGAGGTCCGCGCGGATGCTGTCGGATCAGCACTGGTTCCCCAGTCGTGTCGCATGGAGCGTGCCAGGGGCGGCGCCAGAGGCGCGGGTCCAACGCAGATCCAAAACATCCGCGCGGACGTTCGAAAGCTCTGAGCATCGTTTAGCCGATCCCTATCCCCACTGGCGTGGCCTGGGCTCCACTGGTCGCTGTACCCTCACAAATGGGAATATAAGCTGCTCCCGTCGGGTTCGGTTGACTGGTGGCGGTCGGGATGGGAAAGGCGATGGGATAGGAATCGGTTACACTAGGGAAGCCATAAAGTACCGATACCGCTACTCCCCGGACCTCTCCCGGGGTGTGTTCTGATCAGAATTTCTCGAAACCAGCGGTGGCGACGAGTGCCTCCCAGGAGGCCACCAGAAAGGGAAAACGAACGAAGAGAGGCGGCATGGGAACCTTTTTTTCCTCGACTGAGGTCAAACGATACTGAAGCTTACGTCCATGTGCAGTAGGGACCCGATCACAAGAAACCTTCCACGAGAAACCCAACCCTGAGACCCCAGGACGTCCTTTGATGTTTGGCGTGGGAACGTCACGCTGTCCATAGCAAAGCCATCGAAACCCAAGAGACCCAGGGCACCCTGGAGGCAAGCAGGGTGCTTCTTGGCATGAGTCTCCACTGCAACTGTTTTGCTCCCTCGAGGTCCTTGAGCCCGCGGAGGTCCTCCTGCCAACGGGCCTGGTCGGCCGCCCGCTGCTGCGCGGCCTGGGCGAGCATGGCCTTCATCTGCCGGACGCTGTCGAACGCCCCGACCAGGCGGGCCCTCATCTCCTTGGAGGAGGAGGAGGAGGAGGAGGAGGGAGGAGGAGGAGGAGGAGGAGGAGGAGGAG